GACCATCCGCGCTGCTGCCAATTCTGAGTGAGCTTGGACTAGACGTGTAGATGGAAGTGGCCAGTGAGGAGAGGCCACTATCAACAGACTGAGCCATTTTTGCTTTGTGTTTATGTTACTGGGAAGTGCGTTGGCGAGTGCATAAAGAACCCCCGACCGCAGGAACACAAGTCCGTGCATACTTTTCCCACTCCACTCCCCTCCACTGCTCGCGTTGTGCGCTTGCGTGACCATGCAATCTTTTTCATCATATCGTGCAACATCCTGCAACAACATAACAAAATTACAACATATACAATATCTCATGGCCAGCGTTTTGGAAGGCTGAATGTGCTGCTTGCTGTTGAGGTTGAGTCGTTTGACTTTCATGACATCAGACGCGCTCGTACATCTCCGACTGGTGGGGCCACAGTTGATGGGTGCATCATAACAGACATTCCCGGTTCCCAAACAAGTTTGAAGGCTCAAAAACGGCGCAGAAAACCGACTGCTAGTGGCCATGGCGAGCAGCATTGGTGAGATGGCGGTGATTGCGCACCGCTTCATCATCTCACCACAGACGAGCCCACAGGCCTTCTGCAATGTCATCAAGTTGGGCACCTTCTGCCGAACCGTGGTGTGGCCATGCTTGCCGCCACTGATGATGTACCAGTACATCCGTGGAAAGGATGAGGACATGTACTCCATTGACGTGCTCTACTACAAGTCTGGCTCCTCTGAAACCAAGGCCTTCTGGGATGGTTCCCGGGTCCGGGGATCTGGACACTGGCGCCTCATGCAGGACTTGGAGACCATCCGCGCTGCTGCCAATTCTGAGTGAGGAGGTTACTTTTTGGACCATCAGGAAAGTGAGACCAAGGTAGCTGTGAAAAAATATGGCGGATGCTTCCATTTCATTCTCTTCAAAGTGAGAGCTGCCGTTGGCGTCATGCCTTTGTCAGGTGTTTGGAGGGTTAAGCTGGAAGGGTTAGTCACTGCCAATCGGAGGAACAACGTGAATCGTTTTTACTCTTTGAGCGAGCCTTTGTTTCCAGCTTCCATTCAGAGTCAGTGAAGTCGAACTGTTGTGGCACATTCTGCAGCCATTCTTGGCCAATCCTACCGCCTGCTGCCTACAAGCAAAGCGATTCAGATCAATTGCCATGGCGAGCAGCATTGGTGAGATGGCGGTGATTGCCCACCGCTTCATCATCTCACCACAGACGAGCCCACAGGCCTTCTGCAATGTCATCAAGTTGGGCACCTTCTGCCGAACCGTGGTGTGGCCATGCTTGCCGCCACTGATGATGTACCAGTACATCCGTGGAAAGGATGAGGACATGTACTCTATTGACGTGCTCTACTACAAGTCTGGCTCCTCTGAAACCAAGGCCTTCTGGGATGGTTCCCGGGTCCGGGGATCTGGACACTGGCGCCTCATGCAGGACTTGGAGACCATCCGCGCTGCTGCCAATTCTGAGTGAGCTTGGACTAGACGTGGCAGGCCGATCCTTGTACTGATCACCCCTTGCTTGCGACAGTTTCTGGCCCAATTATTTTGTGCAATGTTTGAGTTTGGTCGATGGTGCTGCTTCAAATTCTGAATGTTCTCAATGGATTTGTCAAGCATTGCGGTGTTGTTGTATTACTTTTATTTGGGTTGGCCAGTTGTGCGCCCTACTACATGTATGAGTTTGAGTCACATGAGACTTCCAGCGCACTGTGCTTGAATATCCCACCCAGCAGGGGGCGTTGTGAACACTACATGTTCAACTAGCAGCGCTTTGGCTGAAAAGTTCTTCGATAGGACATACGGATACATACAGAATGGGGACCCATTCAATTGACCTCTGATCCTTTTCTCGACCTCCAATCAATCCCTGCTTTTTTCCGACGCCCGCATAAACCGGTTTTACCAATTACCATCATGCTAGGCTGAAACCAGACGCAACCTTGTCCTGTCCAGCTCACGATGCGGAGCCATTCTGAACGCCCCGCCCTGCCATCGCCGTTAACGGGTCAAAACTGCCGATGCTCATTCTGCGAAAGATGATCGATCCGATCGCGGCAAAGAGGTGATCGAGCACTTCCCCATTGAACACCTTGCCAGTGCGGGGGTTGCACAAGCCCACTAGCGTGAGAGTCTAGCCAACGGGGGTTGCATTTAGGAAGACTTGATGCTAGCTGCGTCTTTCCTTAGCTGCTATAGCTGTAGCTTCCGGCGGTTTGCAGTTGCTTCCCGCGTTTTGTCGACAATGTTTGTTGGCATTTGTGGCTTCTCACGGCTTCTGATGGCTTTTGGTGATAGGCTTTTAGGGGCTTCTGGTGTTTCGTTGGCTCTCTCTCTCTCTCTCTCTCTGCTTCTGGCTTTTGTTGTGAGTTGATTGAAGCGTTGTTGGCGTTTTTGCCTTCTCGTGGCATTTGTATACAGCTCGGACACAACTCGTGGCATCTTGGGCTAGCAGATGCTGCGAATAGGAGGCGCGGGAGACAACAAGGGGACAAGGAAGATAAGGAAGGATTTAGGACAACAAGCGGTGTACCCAGTGGTGTACCCCAATTATTGGTAGTAACTTGGCCACGGATTAGAAAGGGGGAGGAAGCAGCTGGCGGAACAAACTAGGGTGAAGGGATTGAGAAGATGAATAATGTGTGTGTGTGTGTGTGCGCCCTGCGAGTAAGCCCTTCCAGCTGTAAGCGGTCAACGAAAAGTCCAGCGAAATCCAACTAAAACAACTTTGCCCATGTCAATGATTGTGTGCTCCCGGTAAAATCGACACAATCATTGAAATTCTCTCTTGCTTAGCAGCGTGTCCAATCGTGTCATTTGACAGATCCTGAAGTTCGTTGACAGGGTCAGAAGATTCCGAAAAGAGGTTTGGGGCCACGAAATTTGGGGCCAGAGGTTGAACAAAAAGGGCTCGGGGTTGGAAAAAATAGATGTTGTCCATTCCTTTTTTCCTCTACAGACTCAGTCAAACACACACAAAGACATTCATCAGTCAGCCAGTTCTTTTCTCACGCTGACTCAGTCACGCAGTCAGATCCGATCTGAGGTTCTTCTCGGCTGGATGTGGCCGAACTGCGCGGAACTGTGGTCCAGCATTTTTGAACGCTTCTGGGGGCCCACGGGAGCCACCCCGCGAGGTTTCGTGGCCAATCACCCATCGGTTTGTGAGAGATTTCGAGCAGAGACGGACCCGCGCTTAGCGGAGAATAAGGTGTGTTTGAGCTTGAGACGTCAGGTTGCGTAGCGTTGGTGCCGGGAACCAGTGACAAGCGAGAAATGTTTTCATTTCATGTTTTCTACTTTTGATTATTTATCATGTGAGGTGGGGTCAAAATAAGTGTAGACTACTTTAGTCAGGAGAGGTCGATGTGAATGGCTTAGGGTGAGGATGTATTGGAAACCGATAAGGTCCCCCCCAAAACCGATAACCTATGTATGATGGTATTTATTATCATTTTTGACAGATCCTTGCGGTACCTGTTGCATGTCAAATGAAAGCCCCATTGACAGTACCCTAGTGAGTGGCTTCAGCCATATGATATGGAATCAATATTTTTGTTGCTGTGTTGTTCTTTTTCTAATCTGCAGCCTTTCATTGAAAAATCCGGATTCTATGTGGCCACTACGCCGATAACGAAACCGATAACTCGCCGATAACCGTTTGGATATGTTTTCAGCTTTCATAGCCACTTGCCCAGAGCCTGCTGACGAGACAACTAAATTCCCTATCGAAGACATTGGTCTAGCCTTTCTTCTTGAGAACTTACGTGTTAGTATTTTACATCCCAGCAAACAGAAGGCCGATAAAGATTAAGATAGAGATAGGTACGCCAAATTTCGCAAACCCACTCGAAATTGCAATGCTTTTGTCCGCCGCTGACAAGCGAGCTGTGAACAAGCTCGTCATCCATTGCTTCTGATTTCAGCGAGTAGGTAGCTCCGCTTCATGCATCCACAATGTAAATGCGAATGCCAAAAGCATCTGATTGAACAAAAAGCTGAAAACCGATAAGGTCTCCCCCAAAAACGATAACGATAAAAAATATCCTTAGCATAAATAATTGATTTTGACCGTGGCTCATGTGATAACAGTTTGCATGAAATGGTTTGGGTTGACAACTGCACGGGTTCCTTGTAATTGTCCACGAAAGACTAGCGGTCGCAGAGCTTTTTGGCTCTTCGGGGCAGAGCTTGCTTGGAGAATTCCATGAGGGCGTGCTGCATCCAGCAGTAGCCCGGCCATGCTGTGGACACTGTTGCTGCTGCCTTGTTACAGTGCGTTGCGAGCCTTCCACAGTCGAGACGAACTCAGACATGCTGTCCTTGGTTGGTCTTATGAAGCAAGGAGGCTAGAACGGAAGGGCAGTGAATAAAAAGCTTTGAGTGGGTACCACAGAATAAATCCAAACAAGCTGGCAGCTGGCTAGTCCAAATCGGGCAAAGCGCATGTCAGAGATATCATACGATATCATTAATCTTGTTACTACTAGCGAGGCACTTGTTACTAATTGTATTTTGGAATTGCCACATCAGCTGATATTCAATTGCCATCGTTCCTTAGAAAGGTACCTTTTACATGTTGTTTGCCAAAGGCACAGTTACCGACAGACCTATGGAGATATTACTGGCTGGGATGTCTCGGAGGTCACGGACATGCACAGGCTTTTCTATGATCTTGATGACTTCAACGAAGATGCCCAGCAACAATCATTGGCTTTAGGCACCTGCTCAGTGCCTGGCACAACGGTGCCACGTAATACGGTTTCATTTACATGTGGTGTATGTAAATCTTTCATGAACAGGGTTGCACTTTCGCCCTCCTCTTATTAAGTATTCATGTTAGCCCACAAAATGCCCCGGGTTACTAGAGGATTTGTTGGAATTTGTCTTGTTTTTCTGTGCTTGTCTTGCTTTTCCTTGCTTCTCACTGCTTCTTTGCTTTTCTTGCTTTTCCTGCTTTTCTGTGCTTGTGTTGCTTTCCCTGGCTTCTCACTGCTTCTCTGCTTTTCCTGCTTTTGTGTGCTTGTTTTGCTGCTTTTCATGGCTTCTTTGTGAATCCTCTTTCTTTCCTTGCTTTTGTTGCTGCTTTTCGTGTGTTTTTTTCTTGCTTGGTTTGTTTTCCCTGCTGTTTTTACAGTTTTTTGTTTGTTTGTGTGTTTGTTTGTTTGTTTTCTTTGTTTCTCCTTCTTCTCGTCTTTTTTGTAGCGTAGTGAGTCTCTTTGATCTTGCTTTGATGGATAGGTATCAAGAAAAAAAAGACGCATCAAGAAAAACTGATAAGCATCAAAGAACATACATACTAATATGCATCAAACAGAATTGTTTGTCCCCTGGTCCCTTGGTCTGCCGGTCCCCTGGTCCCTTGGTCCAACGATGCCCTGGTCTCTTGCTCCCCTGGTCCTTTGGTCCCCTGGTCCCATGGTCCCGTGGTTGGTCCCCTGTCCCTTTGGTGCTACATAGGTCCTTTGGGCACGTGCGTCCAAAAAACAATAATGTATTATCAATCCATCTTGTTGCTCATCTTTGTGAGCCCAAAACTGCCGCTTTTGCTGCTTGTTGTGCATTCTTTCTTGCTTGGTTTATTTTCCCCTGCTGTTTCTCACAGCTTCCTTGCTTTCCTGCTTGTGTTTCGTTGCTTCTTTGACATAAGTAAGACCTAGATGTTAAGATCAGCGCTCCGTGCTTCCCAAAGTGCACTCCTAGGTTCACATAACGCAACCCCATAACGGCAGATGCTAAGGGCCACACCAGACCTTGGCCATCTCACACAAGACTTGAATGCTTATACCAGCGAGGTTTACAAAGCGCTGCCAAGGAAAATTGCCTACCTTTTGTGAGCCACCCGACGGTAAAATTTCGACGAGAAAGGTGACATTCCAACGGCGCAGACCTTTTGTGAGCCACCCGAGGGTGAATTTAGAGGAGGAAGGGGCCATTCCCATTCCAACGGTGCATGCCTTTTGTGAACCACCCGGGGGGATTGTTTTAGGAGGAAGGGGCCATTCCAACAGCACTTGCCTTTGGTGAGCCACCCCAGGGTATAATTTGGAGGAGGAAGGTGCCATTCCAACTGTGCATGCCTTTTGTGGGCAAAATTTTAGAGGAGGAAGGTGCCAGTCCAATGGTGCATACCTTTGTGAGGCACCCGAGCGTAAAATTTAGAGGAAGAAGGTGCCATTCCAGATTCCAGTGCAGCAACATGCCTGTGTGCGCAAGTGAGCCGCTGCGGGCATAGGTATCAAAAAAATAAAAAGAGCATCAAAAAAATAAAAACAGGATCAAAACAAATAAAAAGCGAATCAAAAAATATTCCTTGATAGGCCTCTTCTGCTGCTCTCCTGGCCTTTTGGTCTGCGGGTCCTCTGGTAATGTGGTCCCTTGGTCCTTTGGTCCCTTGGTCCTCTGGTCCACTGGTCCTTTGGTCCCCTGGTCCCTTGGTCCTTTAGTCCACTGGTCCCCTAGTCCTCCGGTCTCCTGGTCCTCTGGTCCTGTGGTCCGCTGGTCCCCTGGTATCCTAGTCCTTCTGTCTCCTGGTCCGCTGGTCTTTTGCTCTCCTACGGCGCTCGTCTGTCGATCTCCTGGTCCCCTGCTTGCGCAAATAGAGGCTTGATTGCTTTCTACTAGAGGCAGCTCCCTGGGAAGAAAGTAGGTACCCAACGATAAGGTAGCCGTCCAGTCATTGAGTAGCCCTACTCGAAAAATGGTTCACCAGCTTGGTGAAAAAGACCCTGTACGGCTGCGACCGCAATGCACCCATTAGAAATAGACTGGTCCACCACATCTTTATCCTGAGGCGATTCCCATCCAGGCACCTTCCGATGCTGCTACACCCATTCCAAACACTTCTCTGCTCTGAGCGCTCTGACAGCGCCATGTAGGGCCTAACTTCGTGTGAACGCCGTGACTACTGCTACTGCTACCACTACTACTACTACTACTCCTCCTCCTCCTCCTGCTGCTGCTGCTGCTGCTCTGCTACGCTGGTGCTGCTGCTGCTACTGCTACTGCTACTACTACTATTACTACTACTACTACTACTACTACTACTACCCCAACCATCCTCAGTGGGCTAGAATATTTTTTTTTGATTACCCTTTTATTTTTTTTTATTGATCCCCGTTGAATATTTTTTTGATTCTATTTTTATTTTTATTTTGATCCCTTACCCGCCGCTGCGTGCGTAAGTGAATTGAGTCACGCGTGCGCAAGTGAGGTAACTTTTGCGTGCGCCAGTGAGACGATGCCCATGACGGACTGGATGCTAAGGGCCGCCAGGCCATTTCACATAAGACTTGAATGCTTAGATCAGCGAGGCTTACAAAGCGATGCCAAGGTAAATGTAAAGAAGGCAAGGGACTATTCCAACGTAGCTGTGACCCACCCGAGTTTGGATACTAAGGGCTACCAGGCTTCTGCCATCTGACATAAGACCTAGATGTTACAATCAGCACTCCGTGCCTCCCACCGTCCACTCCGAGGTTCACACAACGCCGTGCACCAGGCATCTTGCACTTCGAGCTATACACCAAAATACGAATAATTCCAAACATAGAGCGAAAAGAATCAAACGTTTTTCCGGGACCGTTACTAAGTGGCTTTGTGGCTGAGGACATATCAGCGTGGAACACGTCGGCTGTGAAAACCATGGAAAGCATGTTCTTTGGCGCCAACTCCTTCAACCAGCCCATTGGCTCTTGGGATGTGTCCGAGGTGACACGCATGGACTTCATGTTCGTTGAGGCCAATTCCTTCAACCAGCCAATCGGCTCCTGGGATGTGTCCAAAGTAACAGACATGGAGGAGATGTTCTCAGGCGCCATAGCCTTCAATCAGTCAATTGTCCCTTGGGACGTATCCAAAGTGACACGCATGGACAACATGTTCAATGATGCCAGTGCGTTCAACCAGCCAATTGGTTCCTGGGATGTGTCCAGGGTGACGAGGATGAGCGGGTTGTTTACAGGCGCCAGCTCCTTCAACCAGCCAATTGGCCATTGGGATGTGCCCAAGGTGACATGCATGGACTACATGTTCGCTCAGGCCAGCGCCTTCAACCAGCCAATCGGCTCTTGGGATGTGTCCAATGTGACGCGTATGGACAACATGTTCTATGGTGCCAGCGCCTTCAACCAGTCGATT